AAACTAAAATCAATAGTGGCAGAGCCGGCTGCTCCATTAGCGGGGAAAGAGAAACAGATACCAGATAGGGTCCTAGTTAGGTATCTATACCAGCATGGGGAACACGAGGGTGATAGCCGTAAGCGAGCCACTGACCCAATATGGTCAGTCAAAACTTACAACATAGATAAAGTGGACATTAAAGCAGACGAGCCTAACTTGTACTATTTGAGGGATTGGCCAGGCAGAGGGTTTGTAAGAGAAGAATTATTGATCGCACTGCATCGCACACAGTGTTACCACCAGTCAACGTAACATAGATGAAAACCGAGATACTTCAGCTAAGTCCGCCGTAGCTCAGTCGGTTGAGTGGTGCGCCCATTATGTATAGTCTGCTAAAGCTGTACATGTGGGTTCATATTCACCGTCACAACTTTGTGTGATAGATACACAATTCCCCTTGGGAGAAAGCTAATACATTTCTATTTCTCCCTTGGGGAATTGTGGCTGCCGGGGACATTTTACTAATTTTTATAAGAGTAGGGGTAATGGTAGCAAGAGCTAAGGGTCCGACCAAAGCCTTATTTGTGAAATAAGGCTTTTGCAGAGGCTTTTGTTGGACCTGGTCCAAACCGCTATTACTCCTACTACTCCCAATCTAGTCCTATGGGGCAATAAATAATACATAATTTCTGACTATTTGACTAAAACATTTTACTTTAAACAGAGGAACAAAATCACAAAATAAGTTTTCACATCCCCTGCCTTATTCAAAACTATTAATGGAATTATTTGTTGACAAAATACTTTCACTACTCAAGAACTGTCACAAAATGACTACCAAAAATATTTACAGTAAGTGACCTTGACCCCCCATTGTTTAAAGTCTGTGCAGGGATTTACAAGACGCAAATTCCTGCGTCCTATACACATAAAAATTGACTATGAATGCAACAATTTATTAGCGCATCCACAAGGATGCAGAGTAGTAGACAGGATGGTGGTACGGGATCAGGGTAATCTAAAGCTTCATTTAATAGATGAAGCCTTAGTCAGACCCTTCCCATTACCATCTACTATAAAGCTTTATTTCATAAAATAAGACTTTAGTCGGGGACGCTACTATAGCGGACGTTGGTATCTTACCTCTATGTCGTGTTGGTAGGAGGTAGCATTGTGCCATACGGTACAATCAATAATTCTTCTCTCACAAACCCTCTGCCGGGACCATCCATCAAGTAGTATAAGGTAGGTTCGTTGGCTTTGATGTCAACTTTATCTATGTTGTAAGTTTTGACTGACCATATTGGGTCAGTAGCCCGTTTCCGAGTATCCCCCTCATGTTCCCCAGGCTCGTATAAATATCTCACTAGGACCCTGTCTGGTATCTGTTTCTCCTTCCCACGTAAAGGTGCGGCCGGCTCTGCTGCTATCGATTTTAATTTTATAGCGTCTGCCGGCTTTTTACCGGTGAGCCGAGTAACTTCATGGTTGATTGCCGCCACCACCTTAGGGAGCCGTTCAACCCATTCAGTCGATCGTTTTTCCAGGTTGGTCATTTCTCTCGCATACTGATGTCCGAATAAGCGCTCAGCCAAAGTCCTATTGAATCTTTCAACTATAGCTTGACTGCGATGAGCCCCGACAGCACCACGCCTGACCTTTGTATCGTGTTTATCCATCAGGTGTGACACGGCACCCATGAATTCCCTCCCTGGGTCAACTTGCAATACAGTAGGCCACGTTAGTGGACTGCGTTTGTATATACGCTCAATAGCTTGAGCTACCTGATTCGAGTCTTTCGTGGTCAATGGTTCAGCTTCCTTATACCGGCTGGCTACATCCACGATAGTCAGGGCATACTTGTAGGTTTTACGTCTCACCCTGTCGTGAGGTAGGAACAGTAGGTCTGCTTGGTGAACACTATTAGTCATATTAATACCAAACTTCCTTCTAGGCACATAGCGTGGTGGTGGTAAATATATCTGCCAAAGTGCTTGTTTTTCAAGCCATGTTTTGACCTCCTCCGGGGATATTCGGGTTATTTTAGATAGCTTATCTACAGCTTAGCTCCTTTCCAGTACCCACGGGCTATAGTAAATAGCCTCAAACTTTTCTGGTTCCGCGACATGTCACCATTTATTTATACCTATGTTCTTGGTTCAATTTTTCATGCCCGGTGACGCTGCACGTGTATCCCATCAATAGCTATCCAACGCTTGGTATCCATAGGGATAATGATGTTTTATTTATAGTCAGCCCGTATATCCTATGCCCATCACTTCTAAGCCGCAGTTCATTTTATGTCTAAAGGTACGGGTCTTGAACAGGGCTTCCTTGAATCTGGCGTGGTTTGATGTGTTGTTTCACCACGTATTTTTTTACACCCTTAGCTTCCTCGGATTTCACCATTGTCGGTCTTCAGTATGGAGTACATCTTAGGCCTCAACCCTATGTACTGGCTATGGGCGTGCAGCACACTTCCCCTTCATCTTACCTAGGACCTTTTTATTCACCGCGGCTGTGTATGGTATGGTCCTTGGGGTAATCGCTGGTGTCGCATAAAATCGAGGTGTTTTTTCATGTCCTCAAGCCAAAGCGTGGCTTGAAAACAAGCCCTGTGGCAGATCTATTTGTCACCACCACGCTCGTGCCTAGAAGGAAGTTTGGTATTAACATACCTAATAGCGTTCACCAGGCAGACCTACTGTTCCTACCCCACGATAAGAGGTACAAGTATGCCTTAACCGTAGTGGACATAGCCAGTCGCTACAAGGAAGCCGAGCCCTTGACCACGAAAAGATTCGGTCCAGGTAGCCAGAGGATTGAACGCATATACAAGCGCGAGTCCGCTGGCGCGTGGCCAACAGAGCTGCAAGTTGACCCCGGGCGGGAGTTCATGGGTGCCGTGTCACAACTGCTAGCCAAACACGATACAAAGGTCAGGCGTGGCACGGCTGGAGCCCATCGCAGCCAAGCCATAGTTGAGAGATTCAATAGGACTTTGGTTGAGCGCTTATTCGGACATCAGTATGCGAGGAGATGGCCACCCCGGGAAAACGATCGACTGAATGGGTCACAAGGTTACCTAAGGTGGTGTCGGCAATCAACCATGAAGTCACCCGTCTCACCGGCAAGAAACCGGCAGACGCTATCAAACTAAAATCAATAGTGGCAGAGCCGGCTGCTCCATTGCGTGGGAAAGAGAAACAGATACCAGATAGGGTCCTAGTTAGGTATCTATACCAGCATGGGGAACACGAGGGTGATAGCCGTAAGCGAGCCACTGACCCAATATGGTCAGTCAAAACTTACAACATAGATAAAGTGGACATTAAAGCAGACGAGCCTAACTTGTACTATTTGAGGGATTGGCCAGGCAGAGGGTTTGTAAGAGAAGAATTATTGATCGTACCGTACGACACAGTGTTACCACCAGTCAACGTAACATAGATGAAAACCGAGATACTTCAGCTAAGTCCGCGGTAGCTCAGTCGGTTGAGTGGTGCGGCCCATTATGTATAGTCTGCGCAAGCTGTACATGTGGGTTCATATTCCGCCGTCACAACTTTGTGTGATGTGATACACAATTCCCCTTGGGAGAAAGCGCAATACATTTCTATTTCTCCCTTGGGGAATTGTGGCTGCCGGGGACATTTTACTAATTTTTATAAGAGTAGGGGTAATGGTAGCAAGAGCTAAGGGTCCGACCAAAGCCTTATTTGTGAAATAAGGCTTTTGCAGAGGCTTTTGTTGGACCTGGTCCAAACCGCTATTACTCCTACTACTCCCAATCTAGTCCTATGGGGCAATAAATAATACATAATTTCTGACTATTTGACTAAAACATTTTACTTTAAACAGAGGAACAAAATCACAAAATAAGTTTTCACATCCCCTGCCTTATTCAAAACTATTAATGGAATTATTTGTTGACAAAATACTTTCACTACTCAAGAACTGTCACAAAATGACTACCAAAAAATATTTACGAGTAGTAGACAGGATGGTGGTATGCGGGATCAGGGTAATCTAAAGCTTCATTTAATAGATGAAGCCTTAGTCAGACCCTTCCCATTACCATCTACTATAAAGCTTTATTTCATAAAATAAGACTTTAGTCGGGGGACGCTACTATAGCGGACGTTGGTATCTTACCTCTATGTCGTGTTGGTAGGAGGTAGCATTGTGCCATACGGTACAATCAATAATTCTTCTCTCACAAACCCTCTGCCGGGACCATCCATCAAGTAGTATAAGGTAGGTTCGTTGGCTTTGATGTCAACTTTATCTATGTTGTAAGTTTTGACTGACCATATTGGGTCAGTAGCCCGTTTCAGTATCCCCTCATGTTCCCCAGGCTCGTATAAATATCTCACTAGGACCCTGTCTGGTATCTGTTTCTCCTTCCCGTAAAGAAGGTGCGGCCCGGCTCTGCTGCTATCGATTTTAATTTTATAGCGTCTGCCGGCTTTTTACCGGTGAGCCGAGTAACTTCATGGTTGATTGCCGCCACCACCTTAGGGAGCCGTTCAACCCATTCAGTCGATCGTTTTTCCAGGTTGGTCATTTCTCTCGCATACTGATGTCCGAATAAGCGCTCAGCCAAAGTCCTATTGAATCTTTCAACTATAGCTTGACTGCGATGAGCCCCGACAGCACCACGCCTGACCTTTGTATCGTGTTTATCCATCAGGTGTGACACGGCACCCATGAATTCCCTCCCTGGGTCAACTTGCAATACAGTAGGCCACGTTAGTGGACTGCGTTTGTATATACGCTCAATAGCTTGAGCTACCTGATTCGAGTCTTTCGTGGTCAATGGTTCAGCTTCCTTATACCGGCTGGCTACATCCACGATAGTCAGGGCATACTTGTAGGTTTTACGTCTCACCCTGTCGTGAGGTAGGAACAGTAGGTCTGCTTGGTGAACACTATTAGTCATATTAATACCAAACTTCCTTCTAGGCACATAGCGTGGTGGTGGTAAATATATCTGCCAAAGTGCTTGTTTTTCAAGCCATGTTTTGACCTCCTCCGGGGATATTCGGGTTATTTTAGATAGCTTATCTACAGCGCTAGCTCCTTTCCAGTACCCACGTGGGCTATAGTAAATAGCCTCAAACTTTTTCTGGTTCCGTGACATGTCACCATTTATTTATACCTATGTTCTTGGTTCAATTTTTCTCTCATGCCCACGCGGCGTCGTGTTTATCCCATCAATAGCTATCCAGCGTTTGGTATCCATAGGGGATAATGATGTTTTATTTATAGTCAGCCCGTATATCCTATGCCCATCACTTCTAAAGCGTGTTCATTTTATGTCTAAAGGTGCGGGTCTTGAACAGGGCTTCCTTGAATCTGGTGTGTTTGATGTGTTGTTTCACCACGTATTTTTACACCCTTAGCTTTCGGATTTCACCATTGTGGGTCTTCAGTATGGAGTACATCTTAGGCCTCAACCCTATGTACTTTCGGCTATGGGCGTGCCAGCACACTCGTCCTTCATCTTACCTAGGACCTTTTTATTCACCGTGCTGTGTATGGTATGGTCCTTGGGGTAATCGCTGGTGTCATTACAAATCGAGGTGTTTTTCATGTCCTCGTTACCGTCCTCGGTTCGAATCTCCATCAGCAGGGAATCCGTGTCAGTGTATAGCACTTCACACCTGTCGCCGTACTGTTTCTTCAGCTCGTTGTAGTAAAAGTCGTACATCAAGTGTTTGGATAAATCGAGGATGCTCATCCCAAAGTAAACAGGCGGTTTAATATTATGTGACTTTTCTTCATGTGTATGGCAGCCAGGTGGTTATCGAATATCTTACTACGGTTGAATGCAGGGTTAGCGATCAGCTTCCTGAGTTTTCCTCCTCATTTGACCGAACCAGCTTCACGTCTGGCGCGTTTCCTCAGGTTCTCCATCGTCTTACCGAATACCGAGTTGTTCATGAGCTTATATAAGTTTTCTCAAAGTCACTGGTGGCCAGCTTTGGGAGGTCGTGTTCATTCTGATGTAAGGCTCCATCCATGGGCTCTGGTTGAACTTCAGCACTCTGTGTATTTTGGTCAGTTTCATACCCAACGACAGGTACAGCTGCAGGTTGCGATAGTGAACTATGTATTTGGTCTTATTCATTAAGTTAGGCCGAGAGTTTTCAACACCGTCACCCGCCTATCTAATAAGTTATGTTGGTATTCAGACATCCAGTCTGGGTTAACCCTCATCACGTTCGGGAGCTAGCGGATAGCTGTTGTGTGGCGTGTGTAATGCCTTGGGATACTCAAAGTCTACCGAGGATATAACCTTTGTTGAATCGGTAGCGATGCTCATAATATCGAAATCGGATGATACCCATTTGAATCCCCTGTTGGTAGATACTGACTCATGGCCCATCCGTTACAGGTTATTTGCGTCGAGATAGAGAATGTGATTGGTTGGTTTGCTAGGGTTGCGTAGCCATTCAATTATTGATTATTTGCTTTAAGCGTATCGTTTGGTTGCCATGGAGATCCCACCTCGCAAACCTTTCTCAATGAACAGGTGCATGTCATAATCAGTAAACAATTCCAACTTAACTCCGGTCTTTTTAAGCAAGGCATCCCACGACAGACCTGGGCTGGTGTAATACCATGCTGGATCTAGTTTATACTGCTTGATACATGTCCTCCTAAATGTCTCAAACCGTCGGCTAATAGTAGTACATCCATCTTCAAGTACAGATGTCGTGATAGTCACCCAGGTTTTACAACCAAGTTTATTCCATACATTAATAAGCGTCACAGTAATCGTCTTGGATATTTCGACTTCGGTCAGATTGCTGTAAAATTCTCTGATGGGGGTAGTCTGGTCTCGTGAACTTAGTCCAACTATCCATGTACTCATAGGGATACACACCTTTTCTCATAAGCAGAGATCTAGTCTCGGCGTCTGTGTATCGATCGGTGATAGGGAAAGGTATCGTTAGCTTTAATCAGGCTGGCTAATGGCGACAATAGAAATTGACACGAGTCAATGAACCTAAGTCCGTCTAAGCTGAAGAGAGATATTTCTCCATGTTGTTGGGGATGCCGTTATATTACCATCGATTTTAGCGATGGCCTGCATGATTAAGTGAGAGTCGTACCCTCTCAAGTTGTGAAAGACAACGGGAATGTTTATTGTCTTAGGGTTGATTCTAAGCTTGAGGTTACACTCGTTATGGCGCGCCTCTATACTTACGGTTATGTGACAGTGATCTCTCACGAATCACCGTTCAGTGGTGAGTCACACACGTGACAGTTAATGCTACGGGGTGTGAGCTAACCTGTCGGCTTGGGTCATACGCATGGGGCGATTCTATGCAACTTTTCCCCTAATAATTTCTTCTTCCTCCTTCAAACACTTTAGAAACCTTTCAACGGCGTCAGAACCCTGTACACTACGGAGATTTCGTTTCCCGTCTGTGGACGACTATGTATCAAATCCACATGCTTCATGCTCTTGTGTTTTGAGTGTGGTTGGAGTACCCCCAATATCAACAGGTTTGACCAAGGCTTCAAAGTCGGCGTATATAATATAAGGAACAGACATTTGGTGCTTGTGGTTGTAGAATTTTAGGATATTGTCACCTTCCTCGGGCATGTCGTCGTTATAGCCGTCTGTCCCACACCTTGACAATACTCCTGGTGGGATTCTAATAAATCAGCTCGGCTGAAACCGTGCAGACATCGCATACAAAAGTGTTTTTTCCCACCGTGTTTCGACTGGTCGTACAACAACCGGCTGAAATGTTTTATCCACGTGTAGTGATACTTTTCACCTCGTTGGATCATAAATATATTGATAACACGAGGGGTTCCCCCTTTCCACCAGCGAGCTGAGCCTGTGTATTATTGTTGTGTCGTCTTCGTGTCCAAAGACATTTATAGCTAGATTATTCTGTTTTCTACTTTAGTGATCTGGGATATGGGGGTTGGTTCATCTATACCATCCCAGTTGAGTCCATCGTCTTGGGGATAACTAGAAGGCCTGTTGAATTAGTGTCAGCTGGAAACAAGGCTGATCTGATAGCTAATCTCAAGCAATCGTTTCCTCTATTCTTAACGTTTACTATGGCCTGTTTTTCTTATAGTAGGGAGGCAAGTCTAGGTATGACCAGCCTTTGAGCGGCGCGTAGTTAGCTATGTCTAGATAGACAATATCGATTTTATCTACAGCCCACCCGGATCCCAAGTGTGTGTAGCGTTCTAGGTATTCCTGTATCTGCTGAAAACTATTATCGATCGATGTGTTTATAGTCTCTATCTGGGTCACGACCTCTTGTACACCTCGGAAGTAAGGCTGAGCGTGCTTTCGGTAACATCCCCTCGTTCTTTTCGGTGTCATTTTAATTGTGATTTGAAATTTGATACTTCCAAGACTGGCTAGTTCCTGTTTTATTTTATCATCTATCAGGGGCTTAATATCTGAGACATCTATATTCCTATCAGCGGCGCATCGCCAGCCTCTTAAATACTTACCTACAGCTCAGTCGCGTCACGAACTGTATAGTATTCATAATTAGCGTACACACCTAAGGAATTAATGTCTAATTGGGCGCCCGTAAATGTAAAAATTATATATCCTCTCCGTTACCCCAATGAACTATTTTTAGATGGGCTGTTTCGATCCAGTGCTCACACTGTTTGATATAGTATTTCTTGAAGTTTAGCAGGTATTCCGATATACTTGTAAAACAATCTATCTGGTGTTGAGTCGTGATGGTCCCCACACATCTGAAGGGGCGAGTATACTTAACACCATCTTTAATCCATACCATTTTCAATATTACCTGAAATCTGAAGTTTAGTTTATCTTTGAGTATGTTTTTACCTGAGATTCTATGTCTTCACTGGGATCAAGTTCCACAAACATATCTATACGTAGGTGTGTAATAATCTCTAATTGGGGTCTATCTTGAGAAATGCGCCTCACGTTCTTTTATGTAGGCCTTTTTATTCGTAGATGAGGTGATGTCTGACTACGTTAGCCCGTGAGCTTTACATAAACAATAGTGTCCTTTGACTCCTATACCACACACAGAACCACGAGTAGTTGGGACTTCCCATGTGGAAATAACAGTACCCATGAGTACCGCATACCCTACCACAGGTCTCGGTCTTCCCCATAAGTATGTATTCGCATCTATACATGTTTAGCATACTTATATGTGTATTAGTCTAATTGCTTCACAACCAAAGCAGTCGCCGCTACACCCAGCTATGAAGGTCAGTTCACGGTCCATTTGTCCCTTGGATGGTGTGTAGTACTGGCGAGTGTTGGCTTCTGTAGTGGCTCCAATCGTTTACCAGTTAATAAGTAGTATTGTCACCGCTGCGTCGTTAGTCACATCGTGGAATGTTTGAGCGGCATGGTTTTCAGCCTGAGTTGTTCGTTAATGTAATCGATCCGCTGGAAGCGTTGTTTAGCGTACTTTCGGCCTGTGCTATTTGTAAGTTCTCAATAGCGAGATCGTGCGCTTCCTCTCCGCCTGTATTTCAGCCCGCGTGTGACTCTCGTAGTTTAGAGAAGAGGAAATTACTCCCGGAAAATGCCAGGGCATTCACTAACGCACCACCGACCATCATAGCAATCGTAGCCATCCTTATATTTATTTCATAATATCTTCAGGTATTATTCCTTGTTTTACTAGGATGTCTTTTGTGGCCATCGCCATACCAAGGTTCATTATTAGCATACCCATATCCTGAAGGTTGAAATCTAGCTTGATAGTTGGTTGTTTAAGCACCATTTTGGTCAACCGGTATCCTACGGCTAGACTGGCGACCCGCGGTGGCGTGGTATCGTCGTTGACGAACGTTTTCCCCTCAGACATTATGTATATGATATAAATATATTAAATTATAACATGATATGCGGGTTGACCTCTAATTGTGGGGGTTCCTCCTGGGATCCCTGTGTCGTGTATATAACCACGAGATAGCCCGCGGCAGCAGTTCGCGCCACAACCAACAAAATTAAGCTCGGGTGAGTCACCCTGATAATTTTATGTTGGTTACACCACCGTTTTTTACCGGCAGCTACTCTCTTAGGATTCTTCTGCCTGGTGACTGTGGGAGGGTTCACAGTCACCTGTGAAGGTCTCCTCCAGTTGGGGTGGGGTCTCCTCTGAAGGGTCTCTCCTCCTTGGGGTCTCCTGTGCAGCATCCATCTATACTATTATTATTATTTTTCCTCTCAAATTGACAATGCTTTGCTGTGATAATCGCCGCCGTCACGGGGCTAACAACATACCGTATTTGTGGTACAGCTCGCAGCTAATAGAGCTCAAAGTGTTCGATAAAGGGTCTTTCTCTAAGTCTTCCACAGGTAAAGTCGGCTCGGGGATGGGAAGGAAGTATGGCCTTAATACCAGTGTATATCTGGGTCATAGCCGATCCTATTGTCTTTGTCATCTCTGCACCTAGTCTAGTCTCATTATTTAGCGTTACAGTTTATCGATTTCTTCGGCTGACATTTTGTGAATTTTATCCGGTGTACTCCCCAAAGTAATGTTTGGCTTTGCCACCAACAATAGCGCCACCAGTTTCTCTCAAACTTATCATCATCCACCTGTATTTGGGGTACCAACAGTTGCTCTAGCAACTCCTCACACTCCATCCTATAATATGATAAGTAAGTTTTAGTTTTAACAATATAATATACGATATAAGCGAAACACAGAGAAATAAAGGTTAAGTTGAACACGACGAGCACTTCAAATGTCATAGCTATAACTAAATGCTAAGTATTTATACTAAGCATTGCTAAGCTTTGCTAAGCATTTACTAAGCATTGCTAAGAATTTACTAAGCATTGCTAAGCATTGCTAAGCATTGCTAAGCTAAAACACACTATAGGCTACTGGTTGGTCTGTCTTGAGCCGAGAGCTTAAGCGTGTTTAGTTTCAGCTAGCTGTTTCTTCACCCGTTCCGTTCTAATTTGCTCATCACATCGTTCTCTCTCAAACACTCTTGAGCGAATCCCTGTCCTTGCAGTGAAATAAGGCAACCCATCGCGTCTGCTCCTGAGGTCTTTCAACACCGAGTTGAACTTCTGCGTTAGCACCCAGGCGCTATTAGCTGCGTGTCGGCCTGAAAATGCCAGGTGCGATAGCATATCTCTCTTTTTGTTATCTGCGATTAAGCTGCAGTCGTCCAGTATGAACAGCGTCGACTCCCCTTTAAATTTCATATGGTAAGCTTTTAACCAGTCCTGTAGGCGTGGCCCCGGATCGACTCTGTATGCGTCAGGGTCCGTCATCACCAAAGGTCTTTCCGTAATGCGTTTTATTCATGCTCAGAGTAGGACACATGATAGCGATGTGGTCGAACACATCCCTGTAGTACCCTCCAACATATCCAACCGCAGCGGTCTTCCCACAGCCAGTCTGCCCGCGCACTATGGCGCAGTGTGGGTCAGCGAGGGCAAATCAGTAGATGGCTTGCCGCCAGGCAAATCAGTAAATGGCTTGCACGAATCTCCCATTGTCTATATTAAGTTCGCGGCGTCCATAATAGCGTACAGATATAATTTCAACTTGCCAGCGGGTTGAGCCTTCTTGGTAATCTGGATAGTAATTCGCCGCTACCATTGTCTATTCTCACGGCGCTACCGTGTAGTTTATCGTCATCCGTGGATCGCATG